CCCTACAAAATAGACTCCAGATCTTTAGCTCCATTTAAGATACAGAGCTAAACAAAGGCTGCAAAGACAGAAACCACTGAATTTTGACATTTATAGGCTATTGCCATACCTTTAACTTTGCATGCCAGAGTAGTATAAGCATTTGTATAAACACTTTTTTTTAAAGTTAAAAATTAATTAGTTTCATGGACTGTCTAATTCTCCTTGTCCATACAAAATGCTGCTGGTTTTATGGCATCTTCTGAGGTAATGACTTTTGTTTTTGAAGTAGAGTGTCCATTCTTACACCTTTACAGACATTTTGTCTTGATTCTTAATTGTTAAATCTAAAGAACTTGCTCAAAAGCCCCATTGCATTCTGTATGAGAGGTCAAAGCTGGCATTTTAAATGCATTCTGCACTTAGTGAATGGTTTCTTGTGGAAATAAAATGTTCACCTATAACAGAAGAGAAAGCTCCCATGGTTTTCTTCTTGGGAGCTGACTTTCTCACATTTGTTTGAAATTAGCCTTTTATTGTAAACCAGAGAAAAACACTGCAAGGGTTTTTTAGGTCTTTTCTCATGTATCTCCCTTCTGATTTCAGCTTGGGGAAGAGCTGCTGCTGCCACATACCTGGTTGGCTTTATACTTCTAGTCATCTGTTTTGCTCTGGCCATCATAGCATTTGCCATTGACACACTTCGATTCAACTTCATACGTGGGATTGGAGGCTTGCTTTTTGTTGCTGGTAAGGCAGTATATGAAATCAATTTTAGCTTATGCAGTATATGCATACTAGACCTGGTATTTCCCTCAGCTGATTCTATGCCTGTTTGCCTTTGTGCACCTGAGCTCTCTATGACAAATAATACAAAGTCTGTCAAGGCAGTGGATCGATTTTCAAATCCTCCAAAACATGGGTGGGTTTAGCTACAGGTGTTATGGAGGTAGGCAACATGATGGGTGTTAACTTAAACATTTTTTGTTTTCTCCTGTTTCTTCAGCTGTATTCTCCATCATGGGCCTGGTTATTTATCCAGTAAAGTTCTCGACTGAAATTGAAATGACGGGAATCAATATGTTCAGCTGGGCCTATGGCTTTGGCTGGACCACTGCCATTATGGAAATATGCTTGGGATTCTTCTTCTGCTGCCTTCCTAACTATGAAGATCAGATCTTGGGTAATGTGAAGCCCACATATTTTTACTCTTCCCCATAAGCACCAGGAAAAATACATTCGTATTCCAAAGATATCTGACAGAGCAGCTACATTTCCAGAATATTGTCCTTGGATGTTAGTAGAAAAGGCTAGAAACTTTTGAAATGTGTGTAGAAAAATGTTACTGGAATTCTGCAATAAAGTTATCCACTCTATTTTGGACCTTCATAGCTGATGTGGGTTGGTTAGATAAAGTTTAAACATTAAAAACACTTGTGTTTCCTCATTTGTTCCCATGAATGAGGTATATGTTCATATCTGTTGCATCTTAAATGCATTCATATTTCTAATTAAATTCAGAAAAGCTTTTTAAACTGCCAATAAACAAAACAACATATAGCATCTTCCTGAGGGAAAGCAACCCCTCAAATCCCCCCATTTTGTATGTATTATCTTTAATCTGAAGATATTTCACATTTTTAAAGAAGCCAAGTACCTTTACCCACTGACTGCCAGAGTAGTAAATTAGTCAGCCAGCACTTCATAGCTTTGCTTCCATTTCTCGTTCATTCACTTAAGACTTAGGAACAGGGTAAGAAAAGGATGAGAGAAGCCCCCTACCAAAGCTAGAATCTTGACTTTTACCCATCCATGTGGAATGTAAGTATTTATTTCTGAATATTTGTAAGAGTAAGCAAAGACCTTCAGTAAACTCTTGAAAATCCTGTCATGCCATTGATGGGGCCAGCAAAGAGTGGGCAGTGGCAGAGGGGATTTCAAGACACTCCTGCAACCTGGTTTGAAGAAGCTTCTGGTGTGCCTTTCTTCATGGGCATCTGCCTCTTTTAACTGCTGTATCAAGATTTATGGCTTTAAAAAGCTCTGCTATACTGGTCCAGCCCTTTTATCCAATGTAGAAGGGTCAGGAAGGACTTAAGCAGAGGTATACTGTTGTACCTTACTGTAAAATGCATAAGTACCCCTTACCATCACATAGTAAGCCTCACAGAGAAAATCACATCATAAAGCGCCTTTCAGAATCTTATACTTCACAGTGCTGCAAGCCTTGATATATTGCAAGCAATGAAGTATACTCAAGCCTCTTCTGATTTCTGCCTTATTAACGCTAACTTTATAATGTTCCATTTCTTCTTTTAAGTGAAAAAATGAATAATTTTGCTATGAGGAGAAATAATCTTATCAAAATCCTTAGCTACAGAGGTTTATTGCCTTGTAACACATCTGCAATTTTGTAACTATGTGTGCTCTATAAAAAGTGCCCTGCCAAATGTCTTTACTGTGAAGAATGAGGGAAAGAAAATATTTTTAGTAAAAGCTCTGGGTAGCTAAAATTAATAAAGACACCAGACTTACCCTGTGGGTTGTTTTTTTTTAAGCAATTAACTTCATTCAGTTTTATGGAGTGTCTTCTAACTTTGTTCAATAAACGTGAAAGATATATCAGACCAATGAGGAGAGTATATGCATCAAGGAATAGTTAGACAAGAACTTGCAAATACATTAAGAAGATGTTTCCTAACTGGGAGAAAATGAAAATGAAATAGAGTTGGGAAAGCAGTTTGTATAGAATGGTTTGCAAGTCTTTGTGTAATATGACCTCTTCAGGAAAAAAAATTACCATAAATTTTTTATTATGCTTATTATATGTAATAAATGACGGTATCAATGTATTGTTTCAACAACGAGTCTTAGCTTTTGTTCTCTACTAGGAGTGGAGAAGTGTGGAAGCCCCCAGTACCTCCTCTTCTCAGGCAGCAGCTTGGAGCTCCTGGGTACACTGGCTGAATTTTGAGAGGGAAGAGTAACTTACAAATCTAGCATCATGGCAGACTTTATTATTCTTCAGTCCTATTTTGTCTGTCTCCTGAGGTCTTGTTCACAAGCACATGACAGTAGAGGACATGGTCTGTTTGCTTATGGTAAATGGGGTGTCAGCACCATTCTCTGCTATAGTGTGCTACAGCTCCTTTTGGCATGGAGGGTAATGCACTCATGTTCACTGAATAGGAAGCCAGAGCGGTCCTGTCTGAAGTTTTTGTCCAATGGATGTGGCAATCCCTTGAGGAAGCAAAAGGGAAGTTGAGCAACTACTAATTATATTTACAGTTTCTTTAACATTAGCTGGACACTGACCCAACATCTGGAGGTGGGGAAAGGTGCACAAAACAAGGTTAAATAGTGTGACCCCAACCTTGATGAGAGAGCAGAGCATAATTAAAAAGCAAAGAAAATCTCCGGTGATTGTCCCCCTTCCTCCCTCCTCTCCCTTGCTGCTTTCAGCAGCTTCACCACCACCTCTCTCTCCTTCTTGTCCTCTTACTCCTCCCTAAGGGCAACATAGCAGCGCCCTTAGTGCAGGCCTGGTGGTTATGGCTCTGTGGGATGCAGCCCCAGTCCCCATTTCCCACTGCCACTTTCCCTTTCCTTGGAGAGAGGAGGAGTGAAGCACCTTTGCTGATCTCAGCACAGCAGCAGGACCCAAACCTGGATCCCTGACCCTAGGGTCCCATGGGAAAAGGCTTTCTTTAAAAACAGAAGTGGATTGGGTAGGTATGCAGCAATCAGAAGCAACACAGGAGCTAGAGCTGAAGTACCTGCCTTCAGGGTACTTTGTTTCCAGCCATGCCCTGTCTTTAGTGTAGTTTGCATCCAGTCATGCCAGGCCAGCTCACTACAGATCCCTAGAAAAACACATTGTTAACCTTGAGATAGAAAATCAGAGAGAAAAAATCCCCAAACTGTTGTATACATCCCAGAGCTGCTTCCTGTCTGTGACTGCTGAAAGAGGGGAGCGTGGCAAAAGCAGCATGCAAAATGTAATCAATTCTGACAGAAAAGGAAGCTGAATCCAGAAGCCAAGGGTGTGCTTCAACTAGATTATTAACTAGAGCTAGGTTATCACCTAAGTTGTTAAATTAGTCTACAGCCGCTCAGGTAGATTATTAACTAACCAAATTTTTAGATTAATTTGAGTTATGTCAGCATCAGAAAATTTGGATTTTCAAGCAAAGGAGAAATTAGAGGAAAAGAAGACATCCCTTTAGTTCTGCATGTCTCTTTGGCAGGGTTCTCGCTCCAAGTTTTGCCTGTAAGAGAAACAGGCACTTACCATCAAGAATAGCACAGTGAAAGACTTAAAGTTTCATTGTGCCCAATGGCAGTGCTAAAAAGAGAACAGGAAAGAACAGATGCCTGCAAGATTTGGCTTTTGGGAACACTAGGTCTGTTACAACAGCAGAAATAAAGACTTGCTGCTAAAGGCATTGCTGCTGTTCCCATCAAATTAAGAATTAGGGCAATATCCTCAAACAAATGCATTGTATCTAATCCAACTATACTACTGAAGAGCAAAGGAAAAATAGTGCTGAAAACAAGTGGAATGTCAGAAGCCCTGCAGGTGCAAACTGAAGCAAAAGAAATAATGAAAACTTTCTACAGGTAAGTTAATATGTTCAATTCAGTTTCTGATGTTTCTGCCACAGCTTGTATAACATGGACATCTTGGTCTTTTCAATTTTGTCTGCAAACATGTGCATATGTGATTATTCATTTTTCAGGCACCTGCCATTTGGTCTTAAAATACAGCCTGCCTAATCAATAATTCAAATGCAATCTAATTTGCAACTGTATTAAAGTTGTACATATTTTGTTGTATGAACTAATGCTATGAGTGAAGTTCTGACCCCATTGACATCACTTGCAATGCATTTATTGATTTTATCGAGGCTGACATTTCATCCTTGAAGTGTAACCCCTTTTTTGCATGTGCTCAGAATCAATAATATCTCTGTGGGATGTTCCATCGATTTCAGCAGCTCTGCTTACTTCTGGAGTAAGACACTGCTCCATACATGATAAGGAACAAGAGTTACAGCAGACAGAATCATTTCCAGAATAAAGAACAATTCAATGTGTGTAAGATTAGTAGAATCTAGGTCTTAATTAAATCCCACTTTGTTAGATACACAACATGATCACAGCAAAATGTTCATCTTTCCTTTTGACACATCTCAGTTGTGCAACATTGATTTCTTCTTAGAATTCAATATCATGGAACACTTCCTCGCACATTTCTATGTTCAGTTGATTTCTGTGTGCTTTGAAGATAACTCGATTTAACAAAAGAGTGAAACAATCAACTTTGTAACAAGGGAGAACAGAATTGGCCCTTTTGGACCCTCTATAGGAAAGTGGGTCTTGCTAGAAGGATGCTAAACTGACTAACCAAAGAATTACTTCTGAGTCATATTGGAAACTTAAAACTGAGTATTGAAGGATTGCTATGTGGTTAACAATGGGGAAAGAGAGACAAAGTCTTTTTCCTCACTGTCAAAATATTGCTTTTGCTAGAAATTTTGATTTCAAGAAAAAAATTGTTCCTTTGGTTCACCTGCACAATACAGTCTAGGCCTAAATTTTATCCGCAAAGTTCTTCAGTGTTAAGTGCCAAAATCTAGAAAAGCACCTCGATAACCTTAAGGTTGCAGATCATTCTGAAAGGGTCATCAAAGCTGTTTACATAGATGGTTCCTTAAGTGACTTAATGCATTAGGGGTCATATGCTTCTTTACACACACTGGTTAGTTCCACAGATTCCTGCATGTGAAGTAATGTAGTAGATTTTTTTCAATTTTGCTTTTCATTTTTTTATGATCTGAGTGAAAATGTGGGTGCATCATAGAATTTTACATGTAACTGCTGGGTGTGAGGAGTATTTATAGGAACAACTTTCAGAATAGTTTTACTGTTTATGATAAATGTGGTGAGAGCACATCAAACTGCCCTCTCTTGGATAGCTTTTACGATACATCCTTTTACTTGTGCCACTGTTTGCCTAAGCCATCTGTTTTTCCATAAAAACAGTTTTGTGAAAACCTACTCTAACGATCCTATCATACTGAAAAGAAAGTATATTGGATATCCATGGAGAACCCATTATAAAGCACTTTAAATAGCCCTTGATTGTTCAAATGCAGTTCAAATAGACAGACGTTCCCTGTAGGATTTTTCCACAGAATAGTGTAAACCCAGAAGAAGCAGATTCACTCACGTGTTGACTATAGATCTGAGGATCTACACACCCAGCTCATCATTTCTTACGAAGTAACAAGTGCCCTAGAGCCTTGTCCTTAGCAAAACATCAAACAAATAAATAAAATGCAAACCAAGAAAACAGTGGGGGGAAAATATTACATAAAG